GGGGGCCTTCCTCTTTTTCTCTGACCCTCCACCTTACCAAACATGATACTCTTCTCCAGCGCTAACCCCCTCTAATTCCACTACCTTTGAGATGATTATGAGGTATAAGACGGAGTATGAGTAAAATAGCTCCATAGGGTTTCCAAGGCTTAAATTCCAACAGAAGCAGACTCCTATATATTCCTCCTAACCACCTTTTGCTTGGAGTCCTGGTGTGGCACTGTATGTTAATGCGCCAGACTGCAAAGCCGATTGAACTGCAGGTCGGTGGTTCAAGCTCACTAGCTGCTCCTCGGAAACCCTATACAGGGCCCCTATGGGTAGGAATCAACTCGATGGCACTTAACAACAACAACAACAACAACAACAACAATCACCTTTTGGTTAGTAGTTGAGCACTTTAACCACTGTACCACCAACGCTCATTCTTGCACTAAAACCAAATGAAAAAACAAAACAAAAACTTTGTGGTTGAGTCTGATTCTGACTCAGAGTCTACCCTATAGGAGACAACAGAACAGCCCCAAGGACTTCTCAAGGCTATAAATCTTTAGGAAGCAGACTGCCACATATTCTCTGTAGGATCAGGCTGGTGGGTCTGAATCCCTGCCTTTCAATTAGCAGACAAGCGCTTAACCACTGTAGTCATCAGAGAGCATGAGAATTTGTGGAATGAATAAATGGTGATTGACTGGGTGTGGGAATATATTGATAAAGAGAAGTCATGAGCTTCACATCGAAAGTCGACGTTCGTTCCCACTAACAATGAGAACCACCGAGCGCTTACACCATCTTTTAAATGTGTTTCAATTTAAAAACCTTATGAATCAGGTATTATTTCCATTTTTCAGCTGAGAAAAACCCAGAGAGGTACTACTGTTGTCCTTGGTTCTAGGGCTAAGATGTCCCATGGAAAAGCAAGTGTTCATGGTTAAGAATTAGTTTGTAATACTCAGCTGACAGGCTACAAGAATTAAATGAATCAATTAAGTAAAGTTTCAACAGGAAGAACCCAAGAAAAGTCGGTAACTTTTAACAATGGCATAAAAGAGGGCTTTAGAACCCGTCGCTCCTCGGAAACCCTACACAGGGTCTCTGTGAGTCTGAACCGACTCGACTACACTTAACAACAATAGAATCTTTTTGTTTGAGAAGCAGAGGAACATCAGGGAAATGCGTCACAACAGCCTTAAAAAAACGAAACTCTTCCCTAGTGTCAGTGTGGTGGGGCGGGGCTCTGTGCCTTCCGCGACAGCTGCGCAGCCGCAATGGAACTCATGAATGCTAAGGCCGCGTACGGAGAGGAGGGGCGAGCAGAGCGGCCAGAACCCACAGACGCAGGCGCGTGAGTCCATTTCAAGGCAGCCCAGGCTGAGAGACAGCAGCGCGACTTGACGTCATTTCCTGCTGTAGATCACAGCGGATCCGGGTCGCGGTCATTTTGAGCCCGTATCTGGGTGACTTCTGGACCACAGTCTGTATCCCTTCCGCCCTCCTTTGCTTGTCCGTACACCTCCAGGTTCACGCGCGCTTTCCCTCCTCCCTGTGCTCCTCCTCGGGGTGTTCCCAGCCTTTTGCCTCCCTGTTGTCTGTGTTCGGTGTTCCATCGCCCGCTGCTGTCTTCGGAGGTGGGTGAGGTGACGTTGTAGGCCCCCTGTTCCCCCACCTGCCCACTCACCACCTCAGAACAGCTACCCCGCACCTTCCGCCATTTTCCCGTCTGTGAGGGCTCACTGATTGTGCCTCGGGTGTCTGGCCCCAGAGTAGGGGTGACTGCGGGAGACGAGAGAGTGTTTCTGGAGGTGTGGATGGGAGAGATTTTAGTGTGGGGTTGGGGGCGGGGTGCTCCCCATAAAGGCAGGTCGGAGGTGGACTGTGGGAACCGAAGGCAGGTAACCCAGAGGGTCCGATATGCGTTTCTCTTCGAAATTAAGAGGTTAAAATGGTATTGTCTAAAGGGGCTTTGTCAGCCCCGATCGTCGCCCTAGGGTTTCTAGGATGCTGCGTTTGAATTTTTCTACCGTTACTTTGGGATAAATGTTTATTCAGCAGGCCCTGTCCATGAGCTTAGCCTAGTTTTGTTGTTCTTTCCCCTTAGCTAGGGGCTGACAAGAAGCTCTGGTAGCGTAGTGGTTACGAATCGGGCTGCTAACTTCAAGGTCAGCAGTTCGAAACTACCAGCTGTTCCGCGGGAGAAAGATGAGGCTCTAGTAAAGATTTACAGCCTCGGAAACCCTGTACAGGGTCGCTGTGAGTCAGAACTGACTCCGGGGTACATAACAACAACAAGGGGGCTGACACATAGTGGGTGCTCAGTGGCTGCGTATTGAATACATTAGGCATGTGCCCAATTGCTGTCCTATTTGTGTATTCTATTTCCCCTTTCATGTAATTAGAAAAAATGGTAATAACCATGATTCTTTGATTATTCCAGTTATTTGATCTGTTGAGGTCTTAAGTCCCTGTTGTTACCTGTCAAGTCAGTTGGACTCGAGTTGTTGTGAAGTGCTGTGAAGTGGGTTGTTTGGGAGGAGCGGCTGGTGAGTTTGTTCCACCAATTGGTTCAAACCAACCTTGAGGTCCAGTCCTCATCCTATTGCACCACACTAGAACTCTGTTGTTAAGTGCCGTTGAGTCGATTCCGACCCAGAACGACCCTGTAGAGGGTTTCCAAGGAGAAGCTAGTGAGCTTGAACCACCGATGATGCAGTTCAAATGACGTTGCAGTCTGACGCATTAGCCCACAGCGCTACACTAGGATTCCATAGCGACTGTATTTCCGAGGCGCATCTGGTGGGTTTGAACCATGGATCTTGCAGTTCACAGTCAAGTGTTTATCCAACAGCGCCAAACCCTGTTGGTGTTGAGTGCCTTACAGTGGTTTCTGACTTATAGCGACCCTGTTAAAGGCTTCCGAGGCTGTGAATCTTTATGAGAGCCGAAAACCTCATCTTTCATCCCTAGAGCGGCTGGTGCATTCCAATTATGCCACTAGGGCTCTAAGCTTTGGTAAAAAGAATTGAAGTGGAAAAACTAAAAGTGTTTATTCTTGAAATGCTGGTGGCTGGGGTTTTTTTTTCTGTTTTGTTTTTTTTTTGTCCCCCAGAGTCCTACCTAGTGTGGTGCTTTAGGATTAGCACTGGACTGCTAATGCAAGATCAGTGGTTCAGACCCACCAACCACTCCCTGGCACCCTCTCCAGGGTTGCTGTGAGTTGGAACTGACGCTATGGTATTTAATATACCCTTCTGGCCAGCATCCCAGTGCTTTAACCATTGTGCTACTGTGGTTAAACTGCAAGGTCAGTGGTTCAAGCTCACCAGCTGTTCCTTGGAGACAGACCCTATACAGGGTTGCTATGAGTCAGAACCACCTCTACAGCACTTAACAGCAGCAAGTCTGGAGAGACTGGGCTGTTTGGAAGATGCAGAATTTGCTGGTAGATTACACTACTGGGAGAATCTAAAGCCATCTGTAATTATTCCAGTATTTTGGAGTATTGTTTTCTGAGAGAGGTTGCATGTTTCCTAATGACTATTTCAAGCATGGCAGAGGAAGTCTTTCATGTTTTGAACATGTTATCAGAGAGACCAATCCCTGGAGAAGGACAGCATGTTTGGTAAAGCAGAAAGGCAGTGAAAAAGAAGGACCTCCACCGGATGGAATGCCACGATGGCTGCAACAGTGGGTTCATGCATACCTGCTGCTGCTGAGAGGACGGCCCAGGACCAGGCAGCATTTTCTTCTGTTATCGGGGTCACTATAAGTCAGAGTGTACTTGTGGGTACCAAGCAACATTTCATTTTTAAAATGGAAGCCCGGAATTGATTTTTGAGACTTTTCTTCTATTTTGGAGAATTATTGGACATAGATTTTTGAAAAGATAAAAACAGAATATTATGTAATATAATCCAACTTTAGAAGAAGTATGCCCACTATTTTATCTTGATGGGCTTTTATATCTAAATTTGATGTTGTTTAGTGCCATCCCATTTGTTCCAACTCTTGGTGACCCTATGTAGGGTTTCCAAGGAGCTGTTCAAAGTGACCTTGCAGTCCAGTGCTTATCCTACAGAGGTGTACCAGGACTCCAAATTTGATACTAATCAGTAAGTTTGGGCTGCTAACCACAAGGTCAGCACTTGAATCCACCAGCCACTCCTTGGGAGAGGAGAACAATGAGGTTTTCTGCTCTTGTAAAGATATACAGCCTCAGAAACCCTATACAGGGCCACCATGAGTTGGAACTGACTCCACTGCATTCAACAGGAATGGCACATAATAAAAAAGTTACCTCAGTGAGAAAGTTATAACTCTGTTAATTTGGAAATTATTTGTGTTAGACTCCTTAATTTGGAGAAAACACGAAAACATTAGGTGCTTTTAAGTACGTAGCCCTGGTGTGGCTACGAGACATTGTAGTGAGGGATTGGGGGGCAGGGATCAACGGTGTTGGTTCATACTCACCAGCTGTTCCTAGGAAACCCTATACAGGGACGCTATGAGTTAGAATCGACTCAATAGCACTTAACAACAATAATTAATACCAAATTTAGTAAGTACTTAATAGCTTGTAATGGTTTTTGTTTCCTCCAAATTAATGGGTTTAACATGATCTGTTCCAAATTAAGAGTTGCTATTTTTCATTTTTCATTAGGTAACTTTTTATGATGTTAAGCACTTAAGATGTACTGCTGCGTTTGTTTGCTGTAGAGTCAGTCTGACTCATCAAGACCCTGTGTAGGGTTTCTGAGGCTGTAAATCTTTACAGGAGCAGAAAGCCTCGTGTGTCTTTCAAGGAGTAGCTGGTGGATTCAAACTGCTGACCTTATGGTCAGCAGCCCAAAGTGTAATCCACTACACTACCAGGGCTCTTACTTAGATGTAGTGTTTAATAAATATTTGTTGATTGCCATATAGACCAGTGTTTTTACTGTATCATTAATCTTATGTTTGTCTGTCTCATGGTTTCTAATATAAAACTTTTTATTACAGGGAAGATGAATGGGAGGACTGATTTTCGAGAGTCGAATGCAGATGTTCCAAGACCAATTCCCCGTAACTATTATGTTTTTACAATTAGAAACACTTAAAAAAAAAAAAAAAAAAAAGCTTTTTATTGTAAATTGGGTGAAGGTTTACAGAGCAGATCAGTTTTTCATTCAACAATTAATATGCTTTTTGTGCCATCTCATTGATTATAATCCCTGTATGTAGCATCACTTAGCCTATTTGCTTTTTATGTTTCCTGTTTCTAGTCCTCCTTTCCTAACCCTTCTGAACTGTGTCCCTTCTGAATGCTGTCCTCTTGGTCTCCACTGGTTGATTATTCTGAGGTATGCATACCTCACTAGTGATATTGTTCCCCTTATAAGCCTATCCTTTGGCTGAAACTTGAGCTATAGGGGTGACCACAAGGGTGACTAAAGGTCATAGTCTCAAGGGTTCCACCATATCTGTCCAGTCAGTAAGACTAGTGTCCTCTCTGATTTGGAGTTTTGTTCCACAGTTTTCTTCACTATCCAGGACCATCTGGTAACGTAGTGGTTACGAATCAGGCTGCGAACCTTAAGGTCTGCAGTTTGAAACTACCAGCTGTTCCGTGAGAGAAAGATGAGGCTTTCTGCTCCAGTAAAGATTTATAGCCTTGGAAACCCTGTACAGGGGTCGCTGTGAGTCGCTTCCGACTCCATAGCACATAACAACAACATCCAGGACCATCCAATGTAATTCCTTTAGAGCAGTTGATAGTGGTAGCTGGGGGACTGATTAGTTCTTCTGGTCTGAGTGTTGCGAAGACTGGTGTTCACATGGTCAGTTAGTCCATTGGACTAGTTTTTTTTCATGTATCTTCTGTTTTCTTCGCTGTTTTCCTCCAGACAGGGAGAGACCAATAGTTGCATCTTACATGGCTGTTCACAAGCGTATAAGATCCTAGTCTCAGCTCACCAAAGTAGGATGTCTATAGATTATGTTATGCTGGTTGACCTTGGTATTTTTGCCACGAATGTAAATACCCATGTCCAAATATTCTTTGTCAAACCTATATGTATGTATTTGTGGGTATATACCCACTGTCCTTTCCATAGCTGTTCAGCCTTCATGAAGAAACAGTTTTTTCAAAACAAAACAAAACCCCCAAAACGAAAACTTGCGATTTAAGTGAAAGTTTACAAAGCAGATTAGTTTTCCACTTTGCAGTTTATATGCATATAGTTCCGTGATATTGATTGCAGTAGTCACAATATGTCAGCCTTCTCCCCGTTTTCACCTTGGGCTCCCCATTTCAGTGTGCCCAGTTTTCTTGGCCTTTTCTGCATTCCTAACTTTGCTTTTAGTCAAATGCTGCCCTTTTGGCCTCATATGGTAGGTTGGTCTGAGGATTGTTTTTCTCCTGGGTGCTGCTGTTCACGTCACAGGCCTGTGTTTAATGTGGCTGAAAAGTTCTCTCTGGGAGTAACTGCACTTCTAAGTTAGCAGGGTATCTAAGGGCCATAGTGTTCAGAGTTCCATCAGTCTCTAACAGACCAGTAAGTGTGGTCTTTATGAATTTGAATTAGCTGAAACTATGGAGTTCTGGTGTGTAGCTGTAGGATAAGTACTGGACTGCTAACCAAAAATTAGGCCATTCACATCCACCAGCCGCTCCTCAGAAGTGCTATACAGGGTCAATACGAGTTAGAACTTAACTTGATAGCATTTAACAACAAAGACAACAGTCTAGTTCTTCTGGTCTCAGATTAGTGGAGACTATGATAGATATGGTGTATTTAAGCTATTGTGTCCTTGAATCTTTAGTTTTCTTTGCTCTTGAAAAAAAGACCTATAGTTGTAACTTAGATGACCACTCACAAACTTTTAGTTGCTACTCACCAAAGTATGGGCTATGTTATGCCATTTGGTTTAGATGTTCCTGAAATTGTGATACCTAGCCCTTAAGGTCAGTGTCTCGGTGCTGACAGGTATTTGGATATGGCAAAGAGGTTTCTATGACTGTGCTCTATTATATGGGTTTATTGCAGCATATGCAAATACATATGTGGGAATAGCTGCCACCAACCCTGCATATGTATGTGGGTGTACTCCCATGTTCTTCCCACCCCTGATCAGCTTACCTAACTGCCTGTGTGTCTACTCATATATTGTTTGTCATTACCATTGTTACTTCATAGTTGGAAATCTATGGAAAGAAACTTTCACTGCCTTAAAAGTGATTGGAGGGCTGGCTTCATGGGTGTATGACTTCTGCAATTATATAGAGCCCTGTACTTGGTTTAATGCCAGGGTATTATTACCATCTTGAAATTCATAATAATGATTTGAACAAGAGGTGTCATGTTTTCATTTAGCACCCCTTGCACATTATATAATAGTCAGTCATAACAAGCAGATCATAGCTGTAACTGCTGTTTGACGTCAGAGTTTAACAGTTTACAAGTCAGCGTCATTTCTTGATGGAAAAATCAGGTGTGTTTTGTTAATATGTAAACGAAGCTCTCTTTGTTAGACTTAATTTTCTTAATATGTCTGTTTTAATGCTTTTCTTTTTTTTCTTGGTAAAAAGACATAGGGGCTGATTACATTCCAACAGAGGAAGAAAGAAGAGTATTTGCAGAATGCAATGATGAAAGCTTTTGGTTTAGATGTAAGTTAAATTTTCGAATCAACATTTGACCTTCAGTACCTGAAATTATAGTAACTGTATAGAACAAATTGTTGACATGCTGTGGTGATTGCTAAAGGGGGTTGATGAAGCAGATAAAGGTGAATTGTATACATTTCAAAGCAATGATTTCCAGAATGCTTTAAGAGACCATAGGATAATTTTTGTCAATTACAACAGCACTTATTGAGTATAAATCAAACAGTGTAGTAAGGTTGATAATAATCTACACTTTATAGATAAAGAAATTGAGGCTTAAAGATATTAGATGAATTGCCTAGTCTTACATAGCTGGTGAATTGTGATTTCTAGACTTGAAGCCTGGTCTGTCTGAAACAAACTCATGATTTTAACTGTAGTATTTTTAACCAGTACGTAGTAAGAACTGGTTAATTTCCATTTTATCTCAGTGTGAAATGTTATTATTTTGCTAGGTCTTGATTTCTGCCTAGGGAGTTTATATATGAAAATTTAATTTTTTAAATACAGAGAATGTTGGAAGTAACATAAATTATAGCCTTACTTTCAACAAAACCATAGTGTTGTCTTGCCTGACTGTTATCTATTCAGGTAAGGCAATATTAACAAAAAAGAAGGATGGAATTAAAAAGGGGGCAGGGGGACGACTTACACACTTGAACAAATGTACATTTTCATCATTCATCCTAGTATTTGTGCTTAAGTGTGCAGGCTACTGTGATTAAAAGCTTTATATGACAGTCTTTTAATTGTATGGTGTAGTTGAAATAGCAAGAATGGAACAAGTAGAGAAAGACTTAAGTGTATAAAATGCAACAGGAATTTTAAAAAGATAAATGACTTTGAATTTACGTAGCTAAAAAAGGCTTTGTTAAACAAATGAGACTTAACAACTCATATGACTGAATGAGTGAAGAGAAAGGGAAGGGAACATTTAGAAAAGGAAGAATAGCAGAGACACAGAGTGCAATAATCTGATCTCATCACCAGTCTTGCGTCAGATCTAAATGGAGCAGATGTTTCCTGTTGGGGAGAAAATACGCCACAATACCAAGAACTTTTTGATTCACCATTGAGAGTTTTGAAGAGGGCTTCAAAAGTTCATAGAAAAATTCCATTATCTTTTATTTCTAGTTTTGCACCAACTTTTTACAGCCGCTTGTATATTTTAGGTCTTTGAGCAGAGATGATATATAATTTTTTTCTTTTCTAATTTAAGGAAACCAGTTAACAATATGCAGGGTAAGAAGGATGAGATATTGTCCTTAGTGAAATCCTTATGGTTATGGCCATAACCCAGGCACAGTCATTGTGGGGGGGTGGGCTGTAGTTGACGGTAGTGTCATTTTGAGTGGAGAAGGTGGATGGCAATGAGGGAAGTTTTTTAAAGGGTACATAACAGGATTGTGAAATAGACTGGCCAAGGGGGAATGGAGGCAAGGTAAGAGTCAATTAGCAGCTTCAGGATATCCTGCCTAGGAGACTAAAGAGCAGCAGCATTACTGATCAAAAAGTAGTGCTTGAAAAAGTTCCTGTTTGAAGCAGGAAGCAAGTTTAATTTGGACATTCTGAGTTCATGATGCAATATTCAGTTGTGTAACCAAAGGAATACATAAGAAATTGGGGGTTTTGTTGTATTTTTATTAGTGAATTTACCAAAGTAGTATACAAATAAAAGCATAAAACTGATACATTACTGTCTTTCTATCTAATGGTTAATATTTAGGAATGGTAGAATAAATGATAAAGTTTGGGTAGTATCCGTGGATAGGGGAACAAGTGGTAGTAAAAGAATGAACAGACCAAGAAAGAACACTTGCAATAATAGGGGCTCTGATAGAATATTTTTCATTGTAGCCTCAGGTCTAATATTCAGAGACTCACAGAACTTTCAAGCTCGAAAAACCCTGAGCAAAATTTACCATATTTTAATCCAAACAGCATTTGCATTATGTGGTTTTTGCAAACCGAGCAACTCTCTCACCTTAGACATCCTGTGCACTTCAGATGTGTGTATGCATTACATGTAGGGAATATTATGGTAGGTGATAATAATATACACCTCCATTTAAGAAGACTTGTTTTAGATTCTTAAAAGCCAAAGGCTTGAAAAAAAACTCTCATGGCGTACAGAATGGAAATGGAGTCCTGGTGTGATGTTGTAGGATAAGCTCTGTACTACAGGTCAGTTTAAACTGCAAGATTGGTGGTGTGAACTCACTAGCTGCTCCTCAGAAACTGTAGGGTCACTATGAGTTGGAAGCGACTCGGCGGCACGTAACGACAATGTAGAATGGAAGTAAGTTTTCAGAGACTGCTATCCTGTGGCAACAGATTATTTATCTGTGAAGATTGTGGAGTGGAAATAGAATAAAATGATCTGTTTTCAAGTCTGTTGATGACACAGGAATTAAGAAAAAGAGAAAAGTGTTTTAGATGTCATTTGAGATCACTGTAATGTTAGACTACATAGATTTAATGTCCAAATTTATTTCTGGCTGTTTCCTTACATGTTTAACATTCTAAATAGCTACATCAGCTTGGTGCTAAAAGTACATTAAAGAGAAGTGATCAGTCTGCAGGATACAAATGTATGCCTGACTGTTGTATGCTAATCAAGGTATTGCCTGAAAGAGATGAGACTTTTTGCTTCCATGAAGATTGAAAGCCTCAGAAACCCTGTACAGGGTCGCTATGAGTCAGAACTGACTTGGTGGCACTTTAACAGCAACAACAATTCAGGACATTGATATATAAACAGTAGTTGTTGTTGTTGTTACGTGCCGTGTAGAAGACTAAGCAATTACTGTGTGTTAGAATAGATGAACCATAAGTTGCCGAGCAGAAAGCATGTGCATGTAATAAGAACAGGCTAAAGTGTCTTGTTAGTTATATGTCATATCTACAGTACTGGGAAATGGTTGTTGTTGTTGTTGTTAAGTGCCATTGAGTCGGTTCCGACCCATAGCGACCCTGTACAGGGTTTCCGAGGGTGTAAATCTTTACTGTAGTAGCCAGAAAATTATTGATAGTCTTAAAACAGATAACTTAGGTGTTTCATGTAGTAATCACATTAAGCATTGAAAATATTAAGCCCTTAGCTGTAGCCATAGAACAAAGGAAATTGTACATAAAATTATCAGAAACGCTAGTAGCCATGCATTGTACTTTATCATTGGTATCTTCAATTAAGGACATTCTGTGCAATATATAAGACCATTAGCTAGTTCAAATGGTTTGTGCTCAGCTATTAACTTAAAGGTTGATGGTTCGAACCCACCCAGTGTCACCGTGGAAGAAAGGCCTGATGATCTGCTTCTATAGAGATCACTGCCAAGAGAACCTTTTGGACTAGTTTTACTATGCAACATATGGGATCAATCTCCATGAGATAGAATTAACAGTGATATTTAATGGCAGTATGTGACTAAAAATGTATATCTGTATATGTATGTGTTTGTGTGATGGAGTCCATGTTATTTTGAATATTATCAGCTTGTGAATATTGATTAAATGAAACTGTTGGAAATGTGTACAAATTGTAGGAAAAACACTAAGGCAATTTTTCTTTTTTAAAGATCTTTTGCATATACTCATCATAGGAGTCCTGGTGTGGTGCCATAGGATAAGCACCTGACCATAAGGTCAGCAGTTCAAACTTACCAGCTGCTCTTCAGAAATGCTATACAGAGTCGCTGTGAGTTGGTACTGACTCAGTGGCATTTTAATATATTCATCATAATTTAAAATTAGTGTAGATCTAGGACCATTCTTTATATAAGGTGTTTTTATATAAGCTCCTTTTATATAAGGTGGTTGTGTTGTGAAGTGCCGTTGAGTCAATTCCGACCCATAGCAACCCTGCATAGGGTTTCCAACGAGCAGCTGGTGAGCTTGAACCACCGACCTCGCAGTTCAAACGACTTTGCAGTCTGACACATTAGCCCATAGCGCCACACCAGGGTCACTATTAGTCGGAACCGACTCCACAGTACTTAACAACTATGTGGACTAAGTCATTTTATTATGTACTACTATGAATAATGATATGAATTGAAAACGGTTATGAATTTAGAGTAGCATTTTGCCATTGTGAAGGGAGAAAAGTAATTTTTCTATGCATTTCTGGGTGCTTTGTGCTTTAAAACAGTACTTTAATATTTCCATTGTGACCAACAGAGCCAGAAATCGTTATCATCTGGCTCTTTACAGAATGTGAGGGAGCTTCAGAAAGTTTGTAGAAAATTTCCATTATGTTTCTGTTCCATTTTTCCGTGTAATTTTTGAAGCCCCTGCATGCTTCATGCTGACCTCAGGTTGGGAGCTGCACTGTGCAGTGGAGTGGGGTGGCCACATGTAGCTATTTAAGTTAAAAAATGAAAAAATTCCTTCATTATACTAGCCACGTTCAAGTGCTCAGTAGCCACATATAGTCAGTGGCTACATGACTGTGAGTCCCAAGACACCCACATTTGGTGATTAAGTAGTTGTGCTCAAAGAACCGAATATGTAATTGTACTCAGGGCTAGAATTTATTACACTGAAAAGATACAAAGCAAAATCAGCAAAGGGGAAGGCAGGTGGGATGAACCCCAGAGGAAACCAGGTGCAGGCTTCTGGGAATTCTCTCCCACTGGAGTCACACAAGACACGCTCACCTCCTCCAGCAAAAAACTGTAATGACATGTGTGAAGTCTTATCTACAGGGAAGCTCAGTAGAGACTCAGCTCCCCAGGCTTCTATTTGGGGCTGGCCATGTGGCAACTTTATTGTTGTTGTTGCTCTGTGCTCTTGAGTTGATTCCAACTCATAGTGACCCTGTATAGGGTTTCCGAGGAGCGGCTGGTGGGTTTGAACCACCGACCTTGTGGTTCAAACCTACCTTGCAGTGTAGCGCATTAACCTATAGCGCCATACCAGGACTCCAATATAGCACATACCCAACTTCCACACTCACAAAAGAATGCAGATGGTCAACAAAAACCTTGTTTGTACAAGCGATTTAGGCACAGTGAGCCCCTCTGTAGGTAACCAAAGGACCACTTTTGCACCTTGCAAGCAGACCTTTCTAAGAACAGCAATCTCAGGCCAGCTATGTTGACTGTTGCTAGCTAGTCAGCTCTGACTCATGGCCATCTCCTGTGTTACAGAGTAGAACTGTACATAGACTTTTCTTGACTATAATCTTTACAGAACAGATCGCCAGACCTTCCTTCCACAGGGTTGCTGATTCACTTTGAACTGTCAAATTTTAGGTTAGTTAACCACAAACTGTTTGTTACCCAGAGACCTATGTAAACTCTGTTCTGTATACTACCTAATCAATAATTTAGGATATTTTCATCACAGAAAATTCTATTGGATGAAGTTAGTGTATAGAGCAGCGATCTTGTTTTTAAGTTATGAACCCCTTTAAGATTGGCGTCTTCACTGTGCATTAATATGTTGTGTGTGTCATTGAGTCAGTTCCGACTCACAGCGACTCTGTATAGGGTTTCTGAGGAGTGACTGGGGAGCTTGAACCATTGACCTTGCAGTTCAAACCAACTCTGCCATCTAGCACATTGACCCACAGTGCCACATCAGGAATCCTAATATGTAGACGTTTTTTGTTATTACTACGTACCGTGGAGTCGGCTCCGACTCATAGTGATCCGGTACAGGGTTTCTGAGGTTGTACATCTTTACAGGAGCAGAAAGCCTTATCTTTGTCCTGTGGAACGACTGGTAGTTTCCGACTGCCAACCTTGAGGTTAGTAGTGATTTGTAACCACTATGCTACCAGAGCTCCTTAATATGTAGACACAGATAAACATAATTTCACATAGTCTTAAGGAGTTCACTGGTTTAGAAGAAAGAACAATACTATATAAAGTATATCTTTTTAATTCTTGCCTCCATTACCAAATGATTGTAGACAAATTTATCTTTGGTACATTTAGTGCACCATGGAGCTTAAAAGCTTATAATCTACTATCAAACAGATTGTTAGAATCCTGGCTGGACCTGTCATTTTAACTAGTTGTATGGCCTTGAACATATTATTTATCATCTCTTAACCTTCAATTTCCTTATCTTTAAAGGGGGAGGGTAATAACACAGTTTACCTTAGAAATAAGGTAGGTAAAATGAGATAATACATATAAGACACGGTGTATGGAACTTCATTACTAGCCAGTAGTGGCTCTTGTTTTTAATTTGCTTCTGCCTCTTTCTCTTTATTACTCTTTTTTCCCCTCTACTACTTACTGTTTTTTAATAATATTTTTTGTGTTGCTTTAGTGAAAGTCTACATATAACAAATTAATTTCCCATTTAATAATTTTTGTGCATATTGTTTGTTGACATTGGATTCATTTTCATGGTGTGTCAGCATTCTTATTATTTCCTTTGGTGGCTCTGTTTCTATCAATCTAGCTTCCCTACTCCCCCTTACCTCCTCATATTTGTTTCAGAGTGAATGTTGACTGGAGCACAGTACTCATTGGTGATGTTTATTTTATGAGACTGTTGTCTTAAATGATAAATAATATTTATGAGTGTTATTCTGGAGTCATTTATGTTTAAGTTGATTCTTGAATTGTTTAATATTTCAATGCTTTTAAATATTTAAAATCCTTTTGTTTTTCCAGTGATTGTATATTGTATACCTTTTTAAAATGGAAAACTCTCTTACAGATCTCAATTTTGCAATATATTTAGTTTTACTGATACTTTTATGTAATGAATGCAGTTAAATGTATCCTTTGATTGTTGGTAACTAGTTATTTTTTTCCTTAATAGCTGTGCCTTTGGCTGCAACAAGTATGCTGATAACTCAAGGATTAATTAGTAAAGGTAAATATTTTAACTTTGCGTTTACTTAGTATCTCGTCTGGAATCAGGTTTATGGCACTTTCATGATTTTTATATAAAATGAATACATTAAACATTATCATGGATGACTTTTTACATCACAAGAATTATGTTTCCCTGGGTCCACTGATTCATATATGGCTTTCACAGTTTAATGTCCTCCGGTACTATAGCAACATTAACAATCTAAGAGGGCAAGAACCTTAGGGATCGTTAGCAGGGAGACAGATATCTTGGTGGACCAGCAAGATCACTGTCATTTAGGAGCTTATTAGAAATGCAGGCTCACAGGCCCCATCGCAGACCTACTGAATTGGACTCTTCGAGGTAGGACCTGGGAATCTGCTTTAATGAACTCCAGATGATTCTGTGTACGGGTTTAGAGATCAGTAGCTACCATAACCAGTTTCGCCACATTGTTATCTGGTAAGGGAGGGTTGTGACACTAAATACACAATTAGAATCTGGCAGAAAATCTATTTTTAAGACTACCCTAAGGGGACTTTGTTGTTTCAGTCTGTGGTCTTAAATAGTTTTAGTACAACATATTCATGTGTGGAGTTAAGATAAAGAGTTTAAACTAATAATTTCTGTAATAAGGCTCAGCACAAAGATGGTTCCTCAGTCTCTCCATCCAGTCTTTGGCTTTTGTCATTCTGCTGCAATGTCTCACAGAACTCACGAACCATAAGGGAAGGAACAGGATCTGAAATGACTCAGAAGTAACAGGAACAGCTCAGTATACAGTTCTTGATCAGAACACCTTCTCGTCTTCGGCTGAGGGACCCTGTTTGGGCCTTCTTGGGCCAGCGTTACAACTCTAAGCCAGCCCCACTGCAGCCGTCTCGTGCTGCTCTCACCCCGGCATTGCTACACTATCATCTCCCTGTCTTTCCTGTTACAGCTTCTCCTCTCTTTTGTGTCTGTCTTTAAGCATAGCAGGATGGCAATACTGACCAATCTTCTTGTTAGGGTCCCATACATCTTACTTGTATGGTCCTACTCTTATAAAAGTCCCATGTCCTTACTTGCATTGCAGCATGCTGTCCAATCCCCTTGATGGGCTAAAAGCACATTATTTGTATAATCCCACCCAGTCAACATCAGTGGTTCAAGCTCACCAGCTGCTCCTTGGAAACCCTATACAGGGTCGCTATGGGTCGGAATTGACTCGACGGCACTTAAGAACTACAAAACCCAGTTATTGTGTGACAGTCATAAAGATCAGATCATAGTAACCCTGTACAGGTTTTCTGGGGAGCAGCTGGTGAGTTTGAACCGCCGACCTTGTGGTTCAAACCAGCCTTGTAGCCCAGCGCATTATTCTGCAGCACTGCACTAGGAACAGCTAGAAAGGCCATCTATATTAATTCACTGCACTGTAGTACGATGTGGTGCTAATGGGTAAGCACTGGACTGCTAGCCACAAGGTTTGACAGTTCAAACCACCAGCTGCTCCTTGGAAACTCTATATAGGGTGGGTATGAATTGGAACCAACTCAACAGCACTTAATAGCAACAACATTGTACGAGGGTAAATAGAAAGTTTTCATTCTAGGGATCCTCTTCATATGAGTTTATTCAAAACAAAACCTCTTTAAACATGTCTCTGCAATCTGTGAGAAATAAATTCTCAAGGTAGCCCATCTTCAAGAATAAGGGAGTGCAGGAAATTGCTAGACCAGACCTAGATTGTTGATTGACAGAGCAACAAGCCTGCCTGTGTCCCTTGTGTCCCTGGTGTATGTGAGAGGGAGGAATTGGGGGAGGTGGGAAAGGATCCTGTTCCAACGTTGAATAAGAATGCAACTGTCAAGGGGTAGTAGGTCATGTCAGGAAGATTGTTCGCCCCATAGTACTCAGTCATCCAGGAACCTGTGGAGGGACTTTCGAGCTAGGAGATAAAATTATTTGCAAAGCTGCTGCGCAGCACATTTGCCCTGTCTTCTAGGTTTGGCTCCTGATTTTGCAAAATCGAATAAAAAAAAGTCTCACTCTTGCTAAAATGAGTACAGATTGGATTTCTTGAGTGTTTTGTTAGTAAGCACTCTAACTCATTGGTGACCTCAGCCGGCATAAGGCAGTCTGCCTCAGTTCTCCCTCTGGAGACCCACTGGGGTAAGGTCTTGGCCTTTGTCAGGGACTGACCTGCCAGTAACCCAGAGGGTCCGAGGCAGTGTTTGGGGTATTGACAGTATTGCTCATAAGTGGGTACTTCCAGACAAGAATTTCTTAGTCTTATTAGGGTGCCTTGCAAAAACAGATATTTTTTGTGCCATAGAAAAATACGATTTGAGGTCAGGGCCAACATAAAATGTTTAACAAAATAAAAGTGGGCAGATGCCCAAATCATTGAGACTTTGCAGCAAATTTGTGGGAATACAACAGTTTTTGATCTTTAAGAAGATTGGGAAGGCCAACGGGGAAGACTGTCAACTTTGAAGAATTAAGAAACTGGCTGAAAAAGACCATAGAAATGCCATTGATGCAACAGCTACTGAAGATGGGATCTGACGTGGTTCTGCAATTTTCCATATTAATTGAACATCTTGCTTTTGGCTGAATTAGGTGTTCAAGGTACAATTTGAAGATATGTAGGCTCAAAGAGATGATTTTCTATCACTC